TCTATTTTGAAATGTGTGTTCCATGTCAGAATGTCTGTCTGTGTTTTGGTCTGTGCGTTTCCCACTGCCAATAGTATTTCAACACCTTGGGTTGCCAGTTCGTGGAAAACACAGTGTATTGCAGCCATGGAAGCCAACAAACAAACCTGAGATCAAAGTTTGTACCTGACCTAAGTTTTACCAGAGGCATATTAAAATGTGGATAAATCAACTAATCAATTAAGGCTTGCAGACTTTCAATGTCAAAATCGCTCGTTCCTGTTGTGTGTCCTCAATCTGGCAACCCAGATATATAGATATATACACACACACACACAGTGCATATAGTGGAGATATCTGGCTTAATATATGAGGAAAACCCCCCTTTTAAACAGTGTAATTGAAATGTTAAATGCAGGATGACATGATTTGCTTGTAGTGTCTTGCCCTAACCTAAATGCTCAAACACATAGCATTAGGGATTGCAGAGTGTATGTGCAATCTCAATCTTTGTGATACTGTTTAGTTTTGTTATGGTATTATTAATGCAAGTACAAGAGCACATTCAAAGCTGTATCCAAATCACACACGTTTGACAGCAATCCCATTAGCCATGTATCAGCAGTCCTGTTGTGCTCTTAAGAGCTCCGAAACACCCACACCTGTACAGAACAGACATCAGTCCACACTGCCTATGGAAAAACACTTACATTACTCTCACACTAAAGAATATTTCATGGATTCATAGTACAAATGTTCAATCATAATCCACACCAGACAGTTAAACCAATAACTCTAGTGCCATTTAGTTTATAGTCTATATGATTTGCAACACATTTTACTTCCATAATGTGATGTATTCCTCAATTCCTATTGAGAAAAAAAAACTAAAGCTATTGCTCAATGGAAACTATCAGTTGTGTCAATGAGCAGCTAGTTGTGTTTGCATATGCTTTGGTGTCTATGAGTGTGTTTTAAACAGTGTGAACTCGACACGCAGACCACCAAGGCAGTACAACTATGATCCTTTTTGAGCTTGGTAATGCACACTCTCCCACAAACATTCAGCTCTGTCTACTCTTCATCTCAGCTATTTTTACCACAACACACACATACACCCACATTCTCTCCCATGGGTTTTCTCCAGACAGTTCCTTTATTGCTCATCGGAGCATGCAGATTTAATACACACACACACACACACACACACACACACACACACACAAATAGGTATGGACCAGTGCCATTTTCCCACACATGCTAAAGTGATTGACATCCATCCACTGGGATCATAAGGAAGTTTCTTGTTTAACTAAACATGACTCTGAAATTCCTTCAGTATGGGCCATGTCCTCCATTCTCAAACTCAGTCATAAGAAAGAAAAATTACAAAGGTAGTCCTTAAACATCTCACTTTTTTCTCCTAGGCAGCAATGAGTTCAGATGGTGAGCAAATGGATACTTTTGCTTAAGTATCAGAAAACCAAGTGATTTTAGGAGAAACATCGAAGACAAAGTCAATGCTTAAAGCATAAAACATAGGTGACACACAGTAAGAGCATGGTTTTACTCCAAAAAGAAACGAACAACAAAACAAAGAGTTAAAAAAAAAACATATGTTTAACTTAGTTCAGTACAACTGACAATAAGATTTTTTGTTTATAAATATTTATATATTTATAACGTTAATTTTAAGCTTTTTAAAATGACCAAATGGCATGCTGCATATCATAAAGTAAAAAAATTAGCCATTTGTGATTCAGAGTAATTTGAAGATGCAGATTCTGGTACCTCTAGGCATCGGTAGATGGCTGTGGTTATGGGTAAGATCTTAAAACCATAGTGGAGTTTCCCCATCAAACATTCAGCGTGATTTATCCGTCTTTTAGAAGAGCCTGCTCCAGAGCCGCTCCTCTTTGCCACTGACTTCAGCTGTATGTTTCTCTTTCTCTACACTTCAGCTCCTGACTGTAACGCTTACTGTATGTGCCAGTCCCTCTTCCGCCCTCCCCTCCAGTCTCTAAACAGCTGGAGTATGTACAGTCTTCAGCTCCCTGCCAACACACACACACACACACACACACACATGCAGCTGGAGATGCAACCTGTCGGAATGCCTGTTCCCAGACAATAACAAAATTTGGTCTCTCTGTATATATATATATATATATATATATATATATATAAATACTATATAAAACAATATATAATTATTATAGTGATACAATAAAATCCGAATGTAATACATTTATGAAACTACCCAACATGTGCCAATCCAATCATATACAGAAGCATAAATTAACATTGTTTCAAGTTTATTTGGACCAAGCATTCGATACAAATAAATTGGAATGTTTTGAATTGATAATAATATTTTATTAATTCGTTTTGACTTTAGTACTGTAAAAATGACAATTACAATTAAGTCAGCATGAAAAAAAAATGTACCTAATTTAAGAACTGTTGCTACTTCTGTTTTATCACAACTGTCTTTATATTTTAGAGATTCCTTCACAAGGGCATGATGATATTTGAGGTTCCTTGGCATCAAAAAGTTTGAGAACCCCCACTTTAAAGAACTGTTTTATAGTCTGTTATTGTCTTATTCTCTCTTTCTTGTGCAGTCGAGCAGTGAAACAATAGGAGGAGGAATAACACTGGAGAAGAATGGTTCACAAAAGAATAACAACGGAGGAGAAAGAGAGACTGCTGTGTGTGAGAGAGAGATACCAGAGGGTCAAGTGTGGACTAAGTGGCTCTGGGCACACTCCCCAGAGTCCTCACACATTCCCTTCTGGGAACACGACGAGGCTGCACGTGTGAGGCTGTGTGTGTGTGTGTGTGTGTGTGTGTGTGTGATGGGAAGAAAGACAGCAGTGGCAGACAGAGGAATGCAGGAATCATATGGCATGAGAGAATCAGCAGTCAGAACTGAAAGAATAAGAATCTATTAAACAGCAGGCTACTTTTCATTGGACAACTGCTAAAATTTAGGCTGTGAAAATTTGTGAGCAATGCAAAACATGCAACATCAAAATTTTAAGGCTTTCATGTCTCTATGACACTCTGGTATCTGGTAACTTACTGGTCAAGGAATCTTATCTAGTAATCTTAATGGTCAGTGAAAATCACCTGCCCAATTGAATAAGATACATGATTTCAGGTATCAGTCGTGTCTGTTGAAGCAATGGTAAGAACAAGTGATGTGTCAATAAAGCAATAAGCCCCAAGAAGCCGTGGTTCGTGGCTTCGCTTCGTGCCTAACAATGCCCCTTAGCTGTTATAAATTCACTGTAAACCACAGCTTCACGGGCTTACTGCTTTTATAAAACAGTTATTGCATATACGTAGTAAGGTTTCACAAAATAAAACAGAGCAAATAAAGTGTAATGATATTAATAAAAACAGTATTCTTCCACCAAACAATGTAGTTCCTCAGAATCTGTTGTGGTTCCAACAAAGTGATTGCTGAGCAACAGACAGACGTAAACAGAGGTGTATGTTTGTAGTGTAATTTACAACAGCTTCGAACGTGGCTCAGCCAATCAGGATCAAGGACCGGAACTATCCGTTTTGTAAATTATAATACTCATGGGTTAGTTCAAACAGTTTGGGTAATACTAATACTGATCCTAGACTTAATATTAAACACCACTAGTAATAAATAATATTCTCTGTGATTTACAGTACATGTGTGACCATACTTCTTTTAGAGGGCAACCAAGAGCAAGGGGAAAAATACAAAAAGCAAAGGCGAAAAATCCACACACCAAACGAAATGCTAATTCAAGGTCCTTTGAACAAAAATGTATTCCTGAAGATTTACATGAAGGTGACAACAAAAACTAAAGTGTGCTAACAAAAAAAGTGACTGTGCACACACACACACACACACACACACACATATCTTGTCTCCACAGATGGAGGTGAATATATCCTTCAGCATGATATGTATCCACATGCCAGTCATGACTGGACAAGCCTGTGATTTCACCAGAGCTCCACAGCCGTCCAGACCTCCACGAGCCGAATGACAGAATAACCGGCATGCAGTCCAAACATTCCTGCTGCCACGTGAGCGAGAGAAAGTGTGTGTGTACGCGAGCAGATTCCAAACAAAACTAAAGCTGCAACAATCTGCATTTCTATTGACCTCTACAGCATTTCACTGTCAAAACAAAGCAGGATTATTACAAACATATTTAACAAATCATATATATGCTTCTCAGTAATACTTCTTGCTAATGAGCAGACAAACCAAAACGAACCACCTAGCTAGACCTCCAAGAAAGCAAAACACTGGTGTTAACCTTTTGAAACAAATACTGCACAGTGCACACACAGACATAGACTTGTCATGTGTTGTGCTATCATACGCTTGAAGTATAAAAGGGTTATTCATTAATAATGCTGTTGATTTGTGGATAATACTTTGGATTTGGACAGGCTGTTCTCTAGTGCCAGAAACACAAAGACTCTTTACATCTAGAAAAGACAAGAAAACTTTGTCTTATAGCCAGTATTACCATTGAAAACAGAAGATCGGCCTAACACGTCAAAGCTGAGAGCAAAGTGCTTCATATTCATGCAAACAAGACCGAAAAATAAAACAAACACATCTTTCGGAACACTTAATAAAGTCTCTGCATCATGTTTGGCTTGAAGGTATCATAAAGTTCACAAACATGGAATGTCATATGGAATCACTTTAATATCTCAGTTTTTTTTACTAGACAGCAATGAAACTTAATGGAGAGCAAATGCATAATTTTCCTGACACTAATTTTATTCCAAACAAAAATACCCTAATAATGTAACGTGAGTTTCAGAAATCTCAACAATGTCTCAAACTGTGCTCAGATTTGTTGATATACCAAAGTTTGCAATCAAAAGTCAATCAGATTTCAATATGAACACCTGAGACAACGTTACAACGCACTGCTGATACAGACAGAAATAATGCAAATAATAATGCAAAAAAAAAGATGAATCCGAAATGTTACCCAAAGCACCTCTCATACCTTGGGATATCTTCTTCAGCAGCTGTTGCCTAGATATGATACGGGCCAGGCGTAGTCCAGAACGCCTGCGGTGGCTGTCCAGTCTGAGGTATATATCTTGAGTCTCTGGAGTCATGCTTCCCAAACACTCACTGTCCATGGATTCATCTAAGAGGTCAGTCAACATTGCGTCCATCTCTCCACTGTCCACAGGTACAAAGGCACTCAAAAGCACTTCCTCAAACATATCACTTATCCCTCCCTTAACTTTCACACACACAGTTGAATCTGCACTGAAATACACTATAAAGCGTGCTCCTTTTGTCATTTACTCAAGGAACACTGGCAAGTATACAGACACAAGCACACCTAGGCATGAAGTCAGCTCTGATCTGAGTGCACATTTTCATCTGCACCACCCACTTTATGGTCGTGTGACTGTGAGAGGAGCCAATAGGGTTGGAAGGGTAGAAAGCACCGCACGGCCAACTGAACGTCAGCCAAAAACCTGCTTCAATGTGATTTTAGAGTGTGTTTCTCAAGTACAGTGTGTGTACGTGGATGTATCGGCCAAAGAGAAGAGAAATTAATGGTGCACCTGGGGAAAAAAACGCCATCCAACATACCATAAGCTAGAAAATAAATCTTAAAAGTGAATTGCAATGGGAAGGAGCGAGATATTACAGCTGTCAGAAAGAACAGCAATATCCTTAGAGATCTCAAGACATCTGCTAAATATTTCAAATCCAAATCGTCTAGAATAATATGCACAGCAAACAGAAAGAAACGCTACAATTGTGGTAGTAAGCATGCGCTCAAAAGTAAGGATGAAGTCAAGACACCAAGATGTTTGGCCACCAGGACCGCTCACATTTGATTGGTCTTGGGTGTTAGGGAAATATTGATCTTGGGTGGAACAATTAAAAAAAATGTAAAAAATATTTCAGACACTCATGTTGTATCAAAAGGACTGAATTATATTTTATATTTTATTAAAGCAATAAGCCCCAAGAAGCCGTGGTTTACAGTGAATTTATAACAGCTAAGGGGCGTTGTTAGGCACGACGTGAAGCTTCACGGGGCTTATTGCTTTTATAAAACGGTTATTCCATATACGTAGTAAGGTTTCACAAAATAAAACAGAGCACATAAAGTGTAATGATGTTAATAAAAACATTATTCTTCCACCAAACAATGTAGTTCCTCAGAATCACTTGTGGTTGCAACAAAGTGATTGCTGAGCAACACACAAAGTAAACAAAGGTGTGTGTTTGTAGAGTAATTTACAACAGCTTCGAACGTGGTTCAGCCAATCAGAATCAAGGACCAGAACTATCCGTTTATAGTAGATTTTTGACAACTGTAATAATTGAAATATATTTTGTACTTATTTAGAAAAGTTGGTGAAAAGTTTCAAAGTAAAAAAATAAAGTAATACAAATTTAAAAACTGTAAGAAATTATGCAGGATAGGATTATTCTGAAAAACTAACTTTCTGTAATCATGTTCTTATCATTTACAGTTTAAGCTGAAATAATTAGGCATAACCCAATATTTAAACAAAAACTTCCTGTTATATATAATGTTAGATGTAAATTACAAAAAAAAAAAATAGTTTAGAAGTACCGAATGAATATCTGCAATCCTGGTCTCATAAAACACCTTGTTCTTGTGGACTCCACACTTAAAAAAACACAGTATTATGTGGAGCTGAAACCGACAGTTCCAGACCTGGCCAAGCATTTCTACTGAACTGCGAAAATTCAAAGAAAAAAAAATTTCACATTTCTTTTGTATGCTAGCAATGTGTAGGTTTTCCCACCTTGAATGTTTGAAGCATGCATGGACAAGCCTGGAAAGATGCTGTTGAAAGCATACTGAGGAGAATCTGACAATGACTGCCATCTGGTGTTCATGGAATGCAATTAGTTTTGAAAAAGTCTTTCATAATTCTCTCAGTTCAGCTAAGGTCTTCCTTCAGGCTGCATAACCGCTACAGAATTCAAGACACCCACATAAGGGCAGTGCCAAAATTACCTAAACATGAACTTGATCCATGAAAACAAACCCGTGTCATTATGGGCATTCACTTATAAGCTAAATCCAGCACGGGTCAAACAGAGGTGAGTTGTTCATGGTCTAAATCAGGGGGACACTGCTTACAGTAATCCCACATGTTTTATCAGTTAACAAGAGTCCACAAATTCTATATCCACTAAAATCAACACAACTACAAAACACTGTGATTTTAATATATTCATCATTATATGCGATGTTTACCCAAAGGATAAAAGGTCTGAGTGCTGGAGCAGAAATGAACCCTGGGGTTGAAAAGAGAAGAATGAGGTTAGTGGGTTGAAGGAGAGAGTCTGTACAGTGCTCAGTGAGTCCAGATTGCTTTTAAATTAACTTTTCCTGTCATTTCCTCACTTAAAGCCACAAAGGAGTCAGCAGAGCCTTGCCATTCATGTTATAATGGACTCAATTTTACTACACTGTAAAACATTACGTGAATTTAACGGTAAAAGACTGTAAAAATGCTACAGTAAAAACCTGTTAAATGGTTAACGGTAAATTCCCCTACTATATACGGTGAAAAACTGTATTGGACATTACATGTCCATTTTACGGTAGTATACCGTTTTTGGAAGTGAAAAAGACCGTATAATTTACAGTGAATAACCGTAAATTGACATTCCCAGAATTCCCTGCGTTACATTTCAAATTTGATGTTTTTTTGTTGAAATAACTGTTTCTTCTTAGTTTTTTCTTATCAGTTTTGTATATTAGGGTTGTGTGTTACCCCTAATGTTGTTAAATGAATGTTTATTGCATTATTTCAGTTTCATGTGTGTTACCATGATGGTGTTTAGCGTTTGTGTGAATGACACTGTGCACCTTCTATATATGTTATTATTTAAAAGCTGCTTGTGATGGGCTTTGGTTCATCATGTGACTTTCTCATCACCACCTGCATTTGGTGGTTATCAGTGTATTTCCAAAGGTACAAAACAGATTTCAGTACTTCAATAGGTTGGTATATTAACATTATATCAGTTAATGAAATTACGGTATTTAACTGTAAATTTAAGCTAAAGTTGCTACTATATTTTTTACAGTAAAATTCCAAATTTTGACAGAAATCACCCATCTCGTGTCATTTACAATCCAACAATCATAATCTTTCACAAATTTTAACCTGTGTTTCCCATCACCCTGAACAAATTACATTATTCTCCTAACACTGTTTGATGTGCAAAAAGCTCAGGTAAAAAGAAGAATCTTAAAGATTGAAATGTCCTGCATGATAGAGCTGATAAAAGACAGTGGAGGGTGTAAAGCGAGAAAGAGTTCGTTTTTGAGCATGTATGAAAACCACAATATACCATTTTTGAGAGTGTTAAGAACATTAAAAATAGGTGAAAAACGTGACACGGATCGAGTGTCCTGATTAGTTTTTGTGCAGGAATGCAGCGCATTTAATCGAGTTGAGAGGCAGCAGACATCAGCTAATGACATTACGCGCAACTGCGGCTTCACGCACAACAGACCGGTGGAGCGCAATGTCGATGTCGATTTGAATTATTTATAGACAGCGCAAGCATTCATCACATGCAAGCTTATTAAAATCCATCCCAGTCAAGAGGGCACATTACAGTGACCATGACCTAAAAACTTGACCTTCCCCAGATAACATGTTGACCTTTAGTGGGACATGTTGTCACAGTGGAAAACAGCTTATAGACTTTTTTGAGCAATAAAAATTAAACAGTTACCTTATTATAAAAACAGAAAACAATTATAAATTGTATGCATTTATAGCAGTTAAAGCAAGTGACAGCACAACAACTTTGCCCTGACCTAATATTTATGAAAAAATTGTGGAAAATGTGTCTCTTATGCCCACTAAGGCTGCATTTATTTAATCAAAATAACAGTAAAATATTGTGAAATATTATTACAATTTACAGTAACTTTTTATTTGAATATATTTTCAAATGTAATTTATTCCTGTGATGGCAAAGCTGTATTTTTATCAGCCCTTACTCCAGTCTTCAGAGGCATATGATCCTTCAGAAATCATTCTAATATGCTGATTTGGTGCTCAAGAAACTTTTCTTATTATAAAAAAAATGTTGAAAACAATTGTGCTGAATATTTTTGTGAAAACTGTGATACATTGTTTTCAGGATTCTTTGATGGACAGAAAAATCAAAAGAACAGCATTTATTTGAAATAGAAATGTCCATTTTGATCAGTTTATTGTATCCTTGCTGAATTAAAAATTTTTTTTTTTAAATTACCATCCGCAAACATATGGTGTACATTTGTGTAGCGTATGTCTTTCAATTAAAGTGAGAACTGTTACTTGCAAACGTGTAATGTTTAGGGTTAAGGGCCAATTATGGTTAGTAAGGCTGTGAAAATATTATTTAATATAATATTTTTAAATTGCAGCATGTCATATTGCATGACACTACTTACACACACGTATCTCAACTATCCAGTTACACATGAAGTCCTGTCTTTCTTTAATGTGCACATACACATACATTCTCCGTCTTACACACATTCCAGTGTCTGTGGGTGTCAGGCATTACACTGGCTCAGCTCCCTCTCAAAGGGGGGTGTTTCAGAGGGAAGTTTTACGTTGGAGATTTATGTCAGTAGGTTACAGTGGTGACATGACTGGCGCGAGGTGTGGAGAGAAAGGGAAAGTCATGAACACAGGGTTAAAGAAGTCAGTCTGATCCACACTTCTATAGGTGGGTCACAGTTAAACCGGATACGGCACTGCAACAGAGCCTGAACCTCCTCAGCACACAAACTGAGAGGAAATGATTGTTACCGCAACTCAAACCTCAAAATAAAACACTGGAGTAACTCTACCCAGTAAACAGTGGCGCTGGAGCCAGTCTGGCGCTGAAAGGGTCTCAGCGCCACTGAGGTCTCGCACTTCAAGAAGAAGTGTTAACATATCTATATACATCCTAGTGAGGTGATTTATGTTTAACACATTTTAGAAGGATGGGGCTGTGAAGAAATTTAATAAAAGCCTGTATTAATCATAAACAACAAAGATAATTTGACCTCACTATGCGACCAAGGATAAGTACAGAAAATTGCAATAAAAAAATATAATAAAAGTAATAAAATAACTTTTCTGCCACTATATGGCCAGCAAAAATTCAAGTGCAAAGTTGTATGAATGTGTAACCTGTGCGTGGGCCCCAAACGTCACTCCATGTTAGCGTGATTATCAGCTAACTGCTCATCTGTGTGAAAGAGTGAATTCACATTGAGTCACCGGGGCCCCTCA